TCATTTTCTGGAATAAATTAGATTTTTCAACAAAAACACCAGAATTTGTTGGATGAGAACTCAGAGATTTCACACTTCCTGTATGCCCAATCAACACTCTAGTTCATTTCTTTTCCTGTACATCCCACACCCTTATCTGCACATATCACAATGGAACAGAAGAGGTTTCTTTCAAATATTGTCCTTAATTACATTAATTTCTCTTATAAAAATATATTTATAGTGATAAATCCGAAACGGTACATGAAAAATTTCAGTATTTGGTATGTATCGTTCTAGTAACAAAATCGGTACGCATGTCGATACGGTATTGACTCATTTGTTTGAAAAACAACAATCTGGAAATAAAATCCAAGATGCCATATTGCCATGCTTTTGAGTTGACACAAAATCAAGTTATGAGATCTAGAAAGCAAGTCGCAATTCATCTGAAAATCGGGTCCCTCATCAAGAAATTATCTTCATGAGGGTGTCGTCTAAATATCTAATCCATCGTATGTCCCTCATCGACCTACCCAGCACACAGTTTTGGAGTCAAACGAGTCTGCTTGGCATTCTGAGACATGGAGGAACAGATTTGTTTGATAATGAGTGGCCATGTAACTTTTTTTTTCTCGCCTTTAGATTGTACAATTAAAAGTAATACTCTTTTATTTTTTTAATTTAATTAATTAATTTATTTATTTATATGCACCTGCAATAGTAATTGCAATGGTAGGTCACACTGTAAACTATAGGGACCATTATAGTTTAAATCCTTGTGGTATTATTCTCCTTTCCCAATCTCTCAATGTAAAAAGAAAAAACAAAAAGTTTAGTCTATTTGTATACTATAACTCAAACTCAATAATTATTATTTTTTTAAAAATTATTATTATTTGACCATTTAAGTTCTTGGCGCTAGCCTTATAGCTTAACATAACAATTCTCTTTATATATATATCTTAACCATTGTTTAGTTGAATGTAAAGTATTAAAAAACATATTATATAATTTAATTGCATAATATTTATTATTAGACTAGAGATAAGCGCCATCTTAACTATTATTGTATGAAATAATAATACTGAAAAATGAAATTACAAATAGTTACGGTATTCAACTAAAAATATGAAATTACTTGATGTAGATGTTTCTAGTAGTTGGGTAATGAAAGTTTATTCAATGCACTTAATGCATGATAAAGAAACAAAATTAAAAACATGGACTAAAAATTATGGTGTGATTGTGTCCATGTGATAAATTATTATGGTCGAATATATTTTTAAAAATTTATCTTTTAAAAAATTAATTTATTTAGTTTTATTATTAAAAATAACTAGTAATTACATTTATTAGTAAATAAATTATAAAATAGTTGATATTTATTACTTAACATATTAAAATCAAGTTACACATTGATATTTTTAAAATGAATAATAATAAATAAGATCAAATTTTGAGATTAAAATTTTGAACCAATAACGTGGCATAAGTTATATCATTTTACATCATTTAAAATATTAAAAGGCAAATCATATATTATTTAATATAGTGTTGTCAAAAGCATAGAGCGACCTAAAGTGTAAAGCAACTTAAAGCGCTAGCCTTTCAAGAGGCTTAAGTAGTGAAGTAGAAAGTGAAGCGAGCGCTTTATCAAAGTGAAGCGGACAATACAAAAAGATGATTATGTAATAGCTTAAATCTTTTCAAAATGTACTCAAAACATGATATATTAATAAAATAGATTTTGAGGTTCATAACTCAATTTTCAAAACAGAAAATTAACAGTGCGTGCATGCATAATAGTTAACAAATTAAAACAATGCAGAAACAACATAATATCATTCCAAAATCTAAAATAAATCATCTCCATCTACATCATCCTCATCAGTTGCATTCATTCATCATCATCACTATTGTCATCTCCATCACTTGAGTGATAATCCTTAATCTCTTTTTCTGATTCCTCTATATCAGCCTCTTCTTCTTCAACTTCTTGTATTATTGCTTTTCCTTTAGAACTTGAAGATTTTAGTTTAGATTGTCTACCATAAATTCTTCTAGTATATCTTCTAGACTCTTCAACACTAGAAGCTCTAGCAACCTCTCCCCAAGTCAAGTCATCATCACCAAACACACGTTCATTTTCAGCATCATCTTCGTCACCACCTATTTTTCCAATCAACCATTCATTGCTATCATCAATATAGTCTAAGAAGATTGAATCAATCTTATCCTTGCTATTATATCAAACTTTAAAAGCTTAATTAGACTTAACAAACACAAGTTCTTGCATTTTCTTATGCTTAAGCCTATTTCTCTTCTTACTATGAATTTGTCTAATTACAATAGGTTATATAATTAAATTACACGATAAAAACAATAGGTAACAAATTAAATTACAATACATCTTTATATTAAGAGCATCAAGTATTAAGTTTATTAACCTTAAATGACTTCTATAGAAACAAAGAATAAAAAATGAGTTATTATATACTTAAGAAATTAAGTCTACCGAATAGCTACTAGTTAGGAACAAAAAACAAGAGTTTGCATACCATTAAAAAGGGCATCTAAGAGTTAAAAAGGGCATCTAAGAGTTAAAAAGTTTTAACTATAGGACAAATAGCCTATTGTTCCAAATGCATGGATATGATTTGTTTTACTGTACTTTCTACATCACACATCATAAAATCTCTAAGTGGATTGTTAAAGTCATACTCACTTGATAACGTAGACCAATTGCAAAAACTTGATTGTAAAAGTTTTAGAACTTTCTACTAGAAAATGAAAAGGAGTTGTAGAACTAAGAAATTTTATTATTTAATCAATTATCCAAAACACATGCATGATGAAGAACAAATTCAATTACTTACTAAAAAACACTCCAGTTTCTCTCACAACCAGGAACACTAGAAGTTAAACTCAGAATTTGAATAGTTAAGTTCATCAACTTTAGAGTTTCCGCTCCATATGAACTCCATCATTGAGCTTCAAGACAAAGCAAGGTAAGCAAATCATCATTATGAGAATGATTAATTCACAAAGGATAAATAAATTTCTTTTTAAAAAAATGAGAACCAACAAATCAAAATTATAAAAGAATCAATACCCAAGTTTCTACAATTTTGCTTACCAAGTGCTCTTTTGCTCTTTTACTGTACTACCATGAGATCAGCAAACATCCCCTTAGCTTCCTTGTACAAGTACAATTGATCTATGATTTGTCTTGATCATTGGGATTTGGAATTAATTTTTGAATACAATCATATAATCCCTTTACGATCTCTTTATTTGTTGCAATACTTGGGTTATTATAAAAGAATTAAGGGTTCAAAAAGTGACCAGCAACATGCAAAGGATGATGAAATTGATTTTCTCATCTATTATCTATAATAGAAATTACATGCTTATACTTGTCTTCATTCTCATCAAAGGCCTTTTGATGGCTTCCTTGGCCCTATCTATTGCTTCATAAACATACCTCATTGCTAGCTTTTTTCATTGTCAACTAAGTAAAGAACACCGACTAAAGGACCCATAACTTTAAGGGCATACACAACCTTATTCTAAAAGGAAGGCATCAAGACCACATTAGTAGCCTTTTTACCTCTAGCTTCTTTATAAAACTTGCTTTTCATCCACTCATTTGATGTAAACATCTTCCTAAGGTTAATCTTTTGCTTGTGGAATCCTTTCCAAAGTGAGATAGGTTGTAGCAAACCTTGTGACCTCATACCTAACCAATTCTTTCTTTTTTATGATTGTTCTCATCAAATTTAAGGTAGATGTTTGGTTGTATATAAACCTAACTAAAAAAATAGCTCTCTCTAATGTTCTTTTTACATTTGTTAGCTTTCCAATATCTTCCAAGACTAGATCTATACAATTTATTGCACATGGAGTCCAAAACAAATGCTTTCTTTTAACCTGTAGCAATTTACTTATCAAGACATAATTGCTGCTATTGTCAGTGATCACTTGAATGATATTTTTCTCTTCAATCCTCTCCACAAAGGCATCAAGTAACTCATACAATTTATCCCTTATTTTCATGTAAGAAGATGCATTAATAGATTATACAAATATTGTTCTTACTGGGCAGTTTACCAAGAAGTTAATTATACTTCTTTGTCTTCTATTTGTCCTAACATAAGACATAATTGAACAACCATAGTTTGCCCATTTCTTCTTGTGGTCTCTTAGCATATCATTTGTAAGCATCAATTCTTTTTCCAACTAGGAGGCTTTAAGTTTGGACCATATCTCCCAATAGCTTCCATCATATATTTGAAGCTATCTAGGCATGTTGCATTGAATATGATCCCAGCTTCATAACAAAATCTTGCTATATACTAAACTGTCTTAGCTCTTGCTTCTTGATCACTATCCTTTTAACTCGTTTGCCTCATTTTGCTTTCATTTCTTCTTTGAACTATACTTTCTAGTTTCATCAAGTAGAAATCCACAAAGCCTTTGGTTTTCTTCCTTCTACCTTACATTCCAACCCTTGATTTTGCAATTAACAACCGTTTACCACTTGAATTAAACTTAACTAGTTCAACCTTGTCTAAATCATCATCACCAATTTCACAATCTTCTCAATAATTGAACATTTGAAAAGAACCTGAGTAGCCAATGGACTTATGGGACTTCTTCTCGTTATAATAATTCCATAGCTCTTCCTTAACTACTTGTGAGTCTTTTAAACAAGCTATAACATTACCCAAACTCTCATTTGAAGTTGCTTTGCTCGATTGATTCCCCCAATAGTTGTTTTGTTACAAAAATTGTAGGTAAAATAGTTGGATTTACTTGGGTATTTCAAAGAACTATATTTCCAACCAAGATCTTTCTTGTTACTAGACCTAGATGAAGTTGTTTCCATTTGCAAAGGGAAACAGAGCAAGTGTAGAAGCAAGGGTAAAAAACAAAGCAAAAAAAGAAGAGAAGAAAAAGAATGTTGGAATGAATGAGAAATAAAACTAGTATTTAACCTTTTAATACTCTTGAAGAAATCACAAGCCTAATCTTGAAGAAAGTACACTTGATCTTGAAGAAAGAAGAAGAAGAAGAAGAAGAAGAAGAAGAAGAAGAAGAAGAAGAAGAAGAAGAAGAAGAAGAAGAAGAAGCAGTAGCAATGACGAGTGACTAAATTAGATCTAATTTTAGCCTTTTAGGGTTTTATTTAGGGGGTACCCTTAAAATTAAAAGTTAAGTTAGACAATTTTGTCAAATTGAA